TGGCAAAAAATGTGTTTTGATTCGGATTTTGCGTTATTTATTTTTTCGGGATTCGGGTCCGAAAGTCAATTCGTTTCGGAATTCGGATTCGGACAAAATTTGTTAGTGGTAATCTGTTCGAAATTTCATCCCAATTTCGATTCGGAATGAAACGCACATGTCTAGAAACTACCCCGATTATATCTAGAACGATTGTTGTCCACGTTCACCAAATCTTCCCAATGTTGTCCCATACGTGGCCACCATTAGCCCCCTGAGATGTGTCTGTGAGGAGCTGAGAGGATTTATGCCCATTTCAGTGGCTAATAATGTCTTTTAGCTTTTTAATGTCACATTAGACATTCTGTATATCTTATAATAATCCCCCCTCATTGACCTCTTGTATACACTGAGTGGCCAGATTATTATGACCACCCCATCAGTACTTCGTTGGGCCACGAGATGGCTCCACGAGATTACTCCATGAGATGACTCCACGAGATGACTCCACGAGATGACTCCACGAGATGACTTCGTTGGGCCGCCTCATGACTCCACGAGATGACTCCACGAGATGACTTCATTGGGCCGCCTCGTGACTCCACGAGATGCTGAAAGGTGATGCGAGGAATCTGACACTGCACTGTTGCCCTTCTGTTGTCTTGTACCAGTCTTGCCACTCTCCGTTCTGCCCTAACATTGACTAGTCGCTGACGGACACAATTCTCATGTTCAGACCCAGATTTTCGGCTGACAGTCCAGTCTTTAAACACTTTAACAACAGATGCTCTTGAACATTTCACGAATTCTGCTGTTTTGCTGATACTCGCTCCATGGCTCCGAGCGCCAACAATCATCCCACGTTGGAAGGCTGTTAAATCACGTTGTTTACCCGTATCTTCAGAAACAAATCACTTCTACTGTCGTGGTAAACAACCTGCTTCCCTATTTATAATGGTCTGACCCTCCAGCATCTTCAGCGCCAAATTATAGCTAATTTGCCTACAAACGTCAGATGGTCATAATAATCTGGCCAGTGTATATTTGACTTCCACACATGTAAAGCCTTCATAACAACACACACTTCATCTTCATATTGATTCATCTTCTTACATAACCAGATTATCTTTCTGAAGCTAAAGCTCCCTTCTTACATACTACACAACTAAGTCACCTGTGCCAGCACCCTGCGTATTAGGCGGCCCTCCTGTCTGACCGCAATATAGATAGAGAACACAATGCAATGTACACAATGGACTTTCCCATTTCTGGTAAATCCTGAGCTAATGTTGCCCATACATTGCTCAAACCAGCAGGCCAAAACTCGACCTGAAGGCCCGCTTGGCCCCCTTCTTTTCAATCTACTTATGTGGAAGGAGCCGGAAGGGAAAATTGTCTGCAATTAGCTGTAGTCACGGTTCGGGTATTCCAGACATCCCAACTCTCCCGGACGTTACAGGAGTCTCCCGCCATTGGATAGCGGCTCCCGGCCGCCCGGGAGAGAAACATTTTCTCCCAGAAAGGTTCACTTTGCTCGATCTGGCAGAGTAAACCTTCCCTGCTTTCTGGCTTTTTTTGGGGGTTTTTTCTGACATCGGGGGCGCCGTCAGTCAGAGAGGAAAAAAAAAACAGCATAGGAATGAATAGCCAGATTGCTATTGGCTATTTCAATTTGCAATAGCCAATAGCAGCCTGGCTATTGTACCCGCCCGCTGCTGCTAATCAGGAAGCCAGGTGGTGAGTGAGTCATTACACGCCGCTTGGCTTCCTTAATGGGACTTCCGGTATCGGTATTCAGTATCTGCGAGTACCGGGAAAAAAATATCGCTACTCGTACTCAATACTGAAAACCCGCTATTGCTTCATCCCTAGTTATATCTGATTGTAAGTGCAAAAAAATGGTGTTGATCTTGTTGGAAATCCAGAGCTGTCCTGTGTCCTCTACACACCTCCTGTTATCTCAAAGATCCCTCCTAGTCCTGATCCCAGACTACATAATAATTATCCTTCATACATGTGAATGTATTGCTGCAATTGCTTTTAGATTTTGCCTTGACATACACTTTAAGTTTCGGGCCTGTGCCAGGGGGCTTTGGGCTCGTGCTGATGACATATGTTGGAGGCACTTCTGGGATTTTGCAGAATGATTCGGGGCTGTTTAAACAGAATGAGGGGAATTTATCAAAACTGGAGCAGACAAAATCTGGAGCAGCTGTGCATGGCAACCAATCAGCTTCTCTCTTTCATTTCAACGCTTAACTGAACAAACTGAAGAGAGAAGATGATTGGTTGCCCCGTGCAACTGCTTCAGATTCTTCCTGCTCCAGTTTTAATAAATTCCCCTCACTCTGTTTAAACTTGTAAAGCCGCTTTACAATAGAAGCGATTCTGGCGACTCAGAGCGCTTCTAAGGCCCGGTGAAAGGTCTCCCCCGGCGTACTTCCCGGGCTCCGTTGCCCCTCCTACGGGCCCCGGGACTAGCTTCTCTGGTTTCGGCGGGAAGTTGGGGAGGAGATGGACGAACCTCCGTTCGTCGATTCCTCTCCCCGTTCTATTGGACCAGGAGCGATGCAGATTGCATCACTTCCGGTCCCAGAGCTGTCTGCACTACACTTCAATAGCTTATTTGGAGTGTAAAGGTGACACTGGGGGTCTTTTGGACCCCCAGCATCGCCTTAAAGAGTACCTGTCACCACCATCTGCTATCACATGGGGGGCTTGTAAGCCCCCCTAAGTGATAGCAATCAAAATAAAGTAAAAAAAAAAAGAAAAATACGTTTTTAAAATCAAATAAAATAAATCTAAAAATAATGTAAACATTTTTTTAAAGTCCCCCGCGAGCATGCACGTCGCCACGTAAACACGCGTCGGGTGCGCTTACGTATGAAAACGACGAGCGCTCTACACATGTTGGGTATTGCTGCTCATGCCAGAGAGCAATAATTCTAGGGCCAGTATTTTTGTGTATCTCTAAATTGATGACCTGTGGGGGCTTTTAAAGCGTCGTCTATGGACTTTTTGGGGTACTGAAGTTTGTCGCCGTTTCACGGACGCACGCAATTTTTAACCTGGGCATGTTGGGTATCTATTTACTCGTTGTAACCTCATCTTTTATATTTCATTTTAAAAAATCCCTAAATTTTGGGGTTTGATAAGGAGTTGCGCTAATATCGTGCAACATAAAAATTTGCAACTGCCACCATTTTATTCTATAGGGTCTTGGCATTCAGAAAATATATAATGTGTGGGGGTTTTAAGTAATTTTCAGGCCTAAAATGTGGAATGTAACAGGTGTGCAAAAAATGGAGAGAAAAAAAGGCCTCAGTCGTGAAGGGGTTAAGAGGTGCAGCTGACCTGCTTCTGACCTGCCTTTCACCTGCTTCAAGCAGGATAATCCCATAGACATGTATGGCAATGCAAAACGCATGCATGCAGCCCCGTAGCTCTTCAAGAAAGCCAAGATCACAGTTGCTCAGTTGGACTTCCTGTAATCAGCAAAGCTCCCGCTGCCCGCTGATTGGAGAGCTCTGGCTCTGACTTAGCAGGGGGCGCATTGGACCTCTACAGAGAGACCGCTGCTTCAATACAGAGAACAAAGGTCCTTCTCTACAGACTTTTCTGCCCAGTCTAAAGGCCGTGACACACTGCTCGCGAAGCAGCGCAGAGCGGTTGGCGCGCTGCCTTTGCGAGCAGTGTGTCATGTCACTTTCTTCTCGGCACCTCAGCTTGCGAGAGCTCGCAGAGCTGAGCGTGCCGAGATGAACAATTTCAACTTCAGCCAATCGGCTCGCGCGTATAAACCGGCGCGACGGGATGCGACGTCTGGCCGGTTGTTACAGTCGAGCCGATTGGCTGAGTGCAATCATCTGACTGCACTCAGCTCACACACTGCACGCAAGGCTCCGTGCCGGATAGCTTTGCTTCGCTCTGCACGGCTTCGCGTGCAGTGTGTCACGGCCTTAAAGCTGCTTTCTAAGGCCCCGTTCACACCTGTGCGATTTAACGCCCATTGCCCAACGCACCAGAGAACTGCCATTGGTTTCTATAGGGTCCATTCACACCTGGCACTGGTGTGCATTGGGGAAAGTAATACAGATACTTTTTTTCAACTCTCCATATAGACTTCAATGGCAGATCTCGAAAAGTGCATTTCACAAGTGTTTTACTGCATGGCAACAAGCACCCACCCCCCTAGCAACCGCTGCTTCACTTCCATTAACCAAAAAATAAACACATAGAGGGGAATTTGTCAAAACTGTAGCAGACAAAATATAGAGCAAACTGAAGAGAGATGCTGATTGGTTGCTATGGGCAACTGTGCCAGAATCTGGAGCAGTTGCCCATGGCAACCAATCAGCATCCACCTTTCATTTTCAAACCTTAACTGAACAAACTGAAGAGAGAAGATGATTGGTTGCTATAGGAAACTGCTCCAATTTTGATAAATGACCCCCATAATGCATATAAAGGCACATCAATGCGCATTAAAACTGCACAAAGAAAGTGAATGGTAAGGCGATGAACGCTTTTTGTTTTGATGTGATTTAAAAAAGTGATTCATCTGTTAAAAAGCTTTAATATTTGTATATTAGGATTTTTTACATGTAGGTGCAAAAGAGGGGAGGGGAAATCTCATAACATGGAGTTGGACTTTCCTCTTTAGGGGGTATTGGATAAAACAAGCAATTCTGGTTCTTCCATTTCAGAAGCTGACCGATACACATCAGCAGACTATCCAGAAGACTCCTTTCCACATCACGGATTATATACATATTTTTTTTTTCAATTCTACAGTTCATCAAGCCTGAAGATCCAGGTACAGTAACGGGAATCCCCGGGGTAAAACCAAAAATCTGCGGCCACCCCTGGAAATCGCGGACAGCTGTCATCAGCTCCATTTGTTGTCTAGGAAGCTGCCAGCACCGCCACGGCTCACGTCACCCTTTGCCATCAACAAAGATGGACGCCGGGGATCGGCGCCTACCCGGTGACCAGGCCTGTACCACAATGCGCATGCGCACTAGTGATCCCGAGGGACGCGCGGCCACAGATGGTGTAACCCTCCGCCCAGGTCCCAATTCTGGAGCGGAGGGTGGGGGGAGAGGGCTCTGAGGGTACCATGGCACCGGCATAGGCCACCTGGGAGGACGCTGCCCGGAGCAGAGCCCGCTATGTAGGACCGGAAAGAGGGCGGCAACCTGCAGAGTACCCACTCCCTGGGCACTGACAGTGAGTCACGTGTTATCACATGGGGCACCCCAGACTGCATGTGCCAGGCAACACTAGGCCCGGGGCAGCCTGTAGCCTCATATGTGCCCAGGCACTAGAATGCCCTGCCAGCCATTGTAGCGCCCCCAGCAGCAGGAGTGTTTCAGGCTGCTCCTGGCATAGTGACACCTCAGATATGTGTGTGTGAGGGCTGATGTGTGTTTACTATGGGGGGCAGACAGTGGGCTCACTATGGGGGGCAGACAGTGGGCTCGCAATTGGGGGCAGACAGTGGGCTCTTGTACTGATTATGTGTATTGCTTCTTGCTTCCTCTTGGCCCATCTCACAGCTGGCTAGGTGATTCAGCCATGGCTAAAAATTTGTTCCATCACAGTACACCTAAACCCCAAATCATAATGTCATATATTGCAGAGTGTCAGGCCTTAGATGTGGCGGCTGCATTCGTTTTCCTATGTTTTATACAAGTACAGAAAAATACATGTTGATCCTGCCAGAAAGCCAGTGTCTGTCACTTCCTGTGAGCTAAACTGATATCTCAAACACTGGTATCGCTTTCTCCGTGTATGGCGATTGTACAAATTGATGATCGCTCAGTTTATGAATCGCTGCATTGGTGTCATGATAGTGGAGATTCCCAAACACATCAATCCTGTGTATCACCTTTATTAGAGTTACCTGATATCGGCTTATCGCGGTACTCCTAGCCACCGACAAGTATCCATGTTGTATGAGCCGTGAATAATGACTGGCTACTGTGGTTACTCCATTTTGCATTTGGTGCCTTATTCCGATCACTGTCTATCGAATGATTCAATTATTATGAATTAGGGATGCACCGATACCAAGTAACGGACTCGCTACAAGTACAAGTACCGATACTTTTCCAGCTCCAAGACTACACTAGAGAAAAATTCAAAAGTTAGGAGGCAGCTGTCATTTGTAAGGAGCACACGGAGCTCCCGGGATTTGTACAGCTCTGTTTTAATGTGTGATTTTGTTTTTATAAATATAAATAAAGGGATGCACCGATACCAGTTTTACAAGTACTGGTACTTGTCCAAGTACTCACAGATACGAGTACTGATACATTTTTGTTTATTGTCATGTGGCAGTTTTTCTAAAACCATACAGACTAATGATTTCAGGACAGTGGTGGAGTGCCAGAGCCAAGTCCCAACTCCAACCGCTGCAACCCTGATAGTTCTCATGAGAATGCCAAGTATCGGCACTGGTATCGGTGCATCCCTATTATGAATCCATATCGTTGTGTATTATATGGTGTCATACAGGGGGTGGACACATTCATATTGAGTTCAGGAGCCAGTCTGTCCAATCCAAAAGCCAACAGGATATCTTTTTAGGAGCCAGTTCTATTGACAGCTAAAGAAAACCCCAAAAGTTAGGCGCCGGCTGTCATTTTTAGGCGCTGGGATAATGTACCCCCTGCTGTATATATGGATCCACTTCGGAGTTCAGTTTGAGGACTGCAGGTTTGTACAATTATGAATGTCTTTTTACCCGTCTCTACTCCAAAACACACTTCACAGGCTGATGGACAGAAACATATTGACAGATGATGACTGACACAAATTGGCAGACACGTCCTGTAGTGCGCAGATGTAGATTGACTCTGACCAGCATGGATGAAGACTGGTAGATTTTGACTGATAGACTAACCTGGCTGAGTTCTACATATAAGTAAGTGGGACTTGTGTTTTGTCAGAGCAGAGTACCAAGTCATCATTGCGGCCCTCTCAAGCTGCATTTATCTGGCTTCCATTTCCTCTGTGCCACTCTGGCCAGTGGCAGAGAGAGGAAGGGTCTTGGAGCTTGCACATGGCTGTCCCTGACCGCATGTGACCCCACTGCTTGACCACCAATCGCCAAGCACCAGTGTTTTCATGGAGTAGAAGAGATGTGAGTCACATATTCCCCATATCAGGAAGTACCAGGTATGTCTCCTGGGCAGTCAAGCAGAGCAAAGCACCTTTCTTCTAGCTGCTCTCCTTGCTGCACATACTTCCCTTCCTTTCACTCCCCTACTGCTCTGGGCATCCATGGGAGAGGATTGGGCAAGCTCTGGTCAGAACTTATATATCACTGATGGCTCTTTCCTTCCGAGAGTGCTATAGCCTGCATCCCGGCATCACACGGTGAATCCCTACAAGTTGTGTCCACAAGCTGGGGTGTGGTTTGAGTATATTTAAAAAACATTTTTTTGTCACTTTATTGTTTTAAGGCTTTCACTTGACCCCTTTCATGTAGTGACATCACCAAATCAGCAGTCAGAAGCAGCAGTGCCTTAGATCTCACTCTGCAGATACACAGCTATCAGGCTGTATGGCCACGAGTCCTAGGCACACTCACATAGGAGGAATTACAGACAACAGTGCAGGCACAGTTACCATATGAAGATCTTTCCTATAACAACAGCAATACATCTACATATCTAATATTCACTTTTTAAGTTCAGTTCCATTTGAACACAATGCATAATCTAAATGGGCCCTTTGTGTATTCTATTTGAAGGAGGTTCGGGCCCCGTATAAACAATAGGAAGCCGTCTGTGTAGCAACCAATTGCTAGTGATTTTAGAAGTTTGCTTTTGCTGTTAATAATGTATTGGGTATCACAGTCCTTAGATTTGTTCAGGTTTTACTACTCGTATAACGGTTTACAAGAATGTCACTTTATAGCCTCAGCGCATCGTTCTGGAGCCCTTTATGACAGCGACTCTTCCATTGTCTGTAGTGAAATGATGTGTCTGTCTTCAGTTTACTGCCAGCAAACTACTAGAAGGAGGCGCTTTTCACAGTCCAGCTGTGGCTGCTCGGGGATCACTCGTTAAAGTTGAACTTCAGCATGAGTATAGTGTTTAATAAAATGTTCCCTACCCCATTTTCAGCCCTAAAATGTTTAAAATGAGTCAAAGCAAGGCAGAGAAATCAAACAGTTACTTGCTGTGATGTCATCAGCAGTCTTCCAAATTCTCTTCTGTTGCCGGCCACACAGAGGAGGGATCTCGATTCACAGGTGGATGCAGATAGTTGCGGTCGCTGAGCCTGTACAAGGCAATGACAGGCTGACAGCGGCTGCAGCTGTCAATGGGTGTTCGGAGTGGTTAGGGACAGATGCATGAATCAATTACTTGCAGTTAGGGACCGATGCTTGGAGTAAACACCTGCAATTAGGGACAGATGCATGGAGTGATCACCTGCGGTTATGGACAGATGCATGGAGCCACTACCTGAGCGATTACCTACAGTTAGGGACAGATGCGTGGAGCGATTGCCTGTGTTTAGGGACGGATGCATGGAGCGATTACCTGCGCTTGGGGACGGATGCATGCCATGGAGCGATTACCTCTTGTTACAGATGCATGAAGTGATCACCTGCGGTAAGGGACAGATGCATGGAGCGACTACCTGCGGTTCCAGATGCATGAAGTGGTTACCTGCGGTTAGGGACAGATGCATGGAGCGACTACCTCCGGTTAGGGACAGATGCATGGAGCGACTACCTCCGGTTAGGGACAGATGCATGGAGCGACTACCTCCGGTTAGGCACACATGCATGGAGCGACTACCTCCGGTTAGGGATAGATGCATGGAGCGACTACCTCCGGTTAGGGACAGATGCATGGAGCGACTACCTCCGGTTAGGGACAGATGCATGGAGCGACTACCTCCGGTTAGGGACAGATGCATGGAGCGACTACCTCCGGTTAGGGACAGATGCATGGAGCGAGTATCCATAGTGACCTATGGATCCAGTTGTAGGATTCTGCTGGATTCTTGCTGCAGCTGGTGCATGTTTGTTATGGGAATGAGGCCTTACTCTTTTGCTTGGAGTTCAGCTTTAGGCTCCATTAGTGGGTTTTTTCCCGCCCATTTCTGTGCGCGAGGAAACGTGCTAAACATACAATGTTTTCTATTTTAATGTGCATTGCTCGCATTAAGGCAGCGTCCACGCGGTATGAAAACACACCCAGCGAAAAAGTCAGAGCCCGATTCTACTATAGCAGCAAACGTGTGGAATCCGGTCGTATGTTAAAATTTGTGTTTTTTGTGCTGTGCAGTTTTCCCGCGCAAAACCGCAAACGCCATAGGTGAACGGAGCCTTAGGTATGGTGAAACATTTTGGAAATTGTTGCTCAGCAGCATAGCTGGAAGTCTTTTTGTCTGCAGTTCCGCTTTGTGACGTTCAGAGGATGCCCCTATTAGAACTGTCATGTAAATGATTCCAAGCTGGGAAAACCAGCCGGCCAGCATTCCAGGTCAGCCTGAAGCTACAGCTGCGCGGAACAAGGAAGTGTCAGGCTCTGAGATGGCACAGCCATTGGACTGAGGAAGGAGCCATCCAGGGGTTTGGTATGTTAATGACTTCACCGAATATCTGTGGAGATGATCCTGAACTAACGCGTTGTCTTTGTTCCCATATTTCCGGTGTATTGTTTTGTATTTGTACATATTATTATGTATTATTATATGACAGCCAGGTGACCTTTGCTCTCTTGCTGTCTCATGGCTGGTTTATGATCTGTCATAGATGGGTAATCTTTGTGTCTGTTTCCCTGGTAAACCTTGCCCAGGTTACCGGCCATTTTGCGTCTTTTTAATACAGTAGTGCGCCCTTATAATTTGCGTGTGCGCGAACGTTTTCACATTGTGTACTTACAGGCATATCGTCATGTATTTTGCAATTTGTTTTCTGTTTTGTGATTGTTACAAAAGTCTTGTATGTGATGAATGGCTGTGATAACAGGGCAGTGTGTACTCGCCTTCATTCTAGGGGCCCATCTACGAAACTGCAGCACTCGGTGGTCACATGACCGCTCAGCTCTCGAGCCCCACACCGGCTTGAAGTATTGGGAAGAGTAGATTTTACTCTTTCAATGCGTCTCCTCTCAATAGTTCGAGTCACTTACCTGAGCAAATTGAAGAGAGATGCTGATTGGTTGCCATGGGCAACTGCTCCAGATTCTGTCTGCTCCAGTA